AAAAATTTATACGCATAAGACAGGCCCCCAAATAACACCTTTCACCATTTGCTAGAAAGCCTACTGGGGCACGTCCTAAACGGCCCCAAAAGCCAGTCAGTAACCTATCCAGCATGCATGCCCTAAGGAATCAAATATGTTCTCCGACCATCTCTTAACCTCAAAGAAGCAATTTCAAAGACCAAAGGCCATGAAAAAATGCCCCCTTGGTTTTTGAAGACAGTATACCTCCTTCCTCTAGAGCCAAATTTAGTTCAAAGTACTTCTCAGTTCTCCTTCAGACAAATTCCCATGCTTTTCCTGGAACCAACGTACCATTAACAAAAATACCAAAACAGCTCACTGATACCACCACCTTCAGTACAATTATTATGTCTGTTTGTTTTCACAAGAGCACCCATTTCATGGGTTGGGAGACAATGTTACAAGGAATTTTCCAATTGAACGACGTCAAGATAACTCCACAAATTACAAGTAGAGTGCTTAGTACCATATAATATTCTCCCCAGATATGAAGACCAGCTTACAACTCTCCAAGATGGCAGCCAATCATGCTAATCCTGAAGAGAACATAAAATCTGAATTCAAATCTGTTCTTCAGTTTCCCAGTCAGTCAAAAAGTTCCTGCAACACCTTTTGCAATTCAGATATGTGGAAAAGAAAGGACAAACCATGCCATTCACAAATTTCATCCTAGTTAAAGATTTGAGCACATAATTCCAAATTTATATTTGGAACAAAATAAAATTTTTGGAAAATAAGAAATTGATGTTTTCGGAGATATAATAATTTATAGAAAACTGGAACCCAAAAGAATAAGAAATGACTAAATTATATGAGAAAAAGAGAGAGAAAGGAGACAAAGAATGATTAGTATCCAAACTGACCTGAAGCTGCAGATGTGACCAGCACTCCAAGAGTTCCAAACTCAAAAGTTTACTCCCAATTTACCACCATCAGATTCTTAAACCTGCATGATTGAAAACCATCTAACCTAGTTGATGCTAAGGAAAGAAATGGTAACACTAAACTTGGACCAACGCTACGGACTAGCCGTCATCCAACAGGCAGTGATTGGAACAGAACTAACCACCAGAAGTACTAAAACCCAAACAACCGCCTGAGCCACAAAAATAAATAGAAAATCAGTTTTCCACAAAATACGAGGTTTTTCAGATAATTATTAATATATTTGTTCACGACAGAGATCTTGATCGCTCCAATACATATGCCTGCTGGAAAGAGGCGGACTGATCACTTGATAAAAAAGTGCAATCCCGACTAAATCCCTTAATATGCATTGAATTATGAATGTCCTGGTGGCGACTATGATCCACACGATAAGCCCAAATTGAACAATTAAACTTCTGATATCTGGGATATTTGGAATATTTGCAGAAAGAAAAAAAAATATCACATGATTTGAACAAGACCAGAAAGTACAAGTTGAACAAACAAAGATAGGAGAATATCCGGGAAAAAGCGATTTATACCAAACTGCACATCCAAATCACACAGAAAGCACAAGACAGTATACATAATGATCGTTTAACAGGAAGCAATTAAAATAGAACAATCTCAAAAACAAACGAAACAAAAACTGAAGACTAACACATCAAACATCAAATAAGCAACAATCGACGCTCATAAGCTCATAAAGGAGTATGATCAGAAGCTAAATACCATCCGATAAATA